CTTCATTACCCATTTAAGCCGTCTCCAGCCATTATTAGTCTCAAAGTGGGTTCCTCGTCATCGAATATCTCATAATTGTTATTAGTTATAATATTTTATTCAAAGTTACATTTAGTGGTTTGGTATTGTATGATTGAATAACAATTGCACTGAGATTAGGCTAGATATGCTTAATTCTCAGTTGTGCTAACCTAGTGAGACAAGTATTCGTTATAATATGAAAATCTGTTCATTTTAAAATCACTTGTAATGACCTTGTGTTTGTGCGATATTTTTTTCTCCTTAAAATGCCGTTCTTTGGTTCAAAAAGCCGAACAAAGCCTTTGTGGCGGAGAGTATTGCTGACTGGCTGCATTCTTTCTGGTCAGTACTTCAAAATTAAGGAAACCTATACCTGAATCCTAAAATTCTGTTGCACCTGATTACTTGAAACAGGTGTGCTTAAATTGTTTCACCTTATCGTTTGGTACAGGTGTGCTTAAAACTGTTGCCCCTTATCGTTTAGTACAGGTGTGCTTAAAACTGTTGCACCTTATCGTTTAGTACAGGTGTGCTTAAAACTGTTGCACCTTATCGTTTAGTACAGGTGTGCTTAAAACTGTTGCACCTTATCGTTTAGTACAGGTGTGCTTAAAACTGTTGCACCTTATCGTTTAGTACAGGTGTGCTTAAAACTGTTGCACCTTATCGTTTAGTACAGGTTTAATTAAATTATTGCTCAGATTGAAAATTTCAATTCCGTATCCAACTCTTTCATTAAAATGCTGTCTTTTCGAATGAATATGATATAACGTTTCTTATTATTAACCCTGATGAAATCATAGAGATAATGTGAACTTGCAGGACTAAACAACTTAAAAATTGAATATAGTGTGTGAGTAAGTGACACAATCGACATTCTAGGTCACCTCTACTACTGTAAGTAAACAAAGGAAAGAGGTCATCTTAGACGTAGTTTATCTTTGCCAGTAAAAGGTTGAAATTCAGTTCAGGAAATATTTTTATTTTAATTAGAGCGCCAAGTAAATACCATTCAGGCTGTAAGAATAAATTACGAATGAACTTATAAATATATATGTATCGGACTGTCAATAATTTCAGTAATCGACCATTTTATGAGGATTTTCATTGTGTCTGAGAGTTATCAAAGAAAACG